TGCCATCCTCTCCTGTCTCATCACCTTTGTCAATTCCTACAATGCCCTTCCTACCCACAAGTTCCAGGCAAGCTGCTCCACCCAAGGAGAGGCTTCTCTGGAAAGACTGCAGATCCACTCAAGTCAGATAATTACTTTGCTCCTCTTCCTGCACTATATCCAGTACATATCTTTCTTCCCAGCTTTATTAATTGCAATTATTGTTTTATCTCAATTCCATAGGGGCAGTAAGCATGTCTAATGTATCTCTGAATTGCTGATGCTTAATCTAGTACATGGCACTTAGGAGGCACTCAGTGACTATTTCCTTGAATTTAATTTAATTATAATTAGAAAAGATTGACCAGATCAGTGTGGATAAAGGACATGTAAGTCCAGGATAGGGCTGTGTGGAACAGGGTGGGAAAGAAAACTAAAGGCAGGAGCAAAATTATATAACAATATTTTTTCATATCCCAGATAAACTAAGAGAATACTTTGCATTGGAAAAGAATGTTACAATGACAATTCATTTACTTAAGTTCCCTTGAACATTAAGTGGCTGTCTAGTGTAACAGACTGATTATAGACATACCACCTGGGTTCATTCACCATGCAGTCCTCCTCCCATGTACTAGCTTAATAGAATACCTATATTCTAACTAATGCAAATTAAGAAAAACGTTAAGATAATCAAAAAATAAATTGGCACACGCCAATATCACTATGCCAAAGTGATCTCACCGTGCCTACCTCCATGCAGTTTTATCCAATGTTATCCACTTAAAATGCCTTCTTGGGGCAGGTGTTTACTCAGTGATTAAAATGTTGGTTAAGATGCCTAAGTTCTGGGGCAGGCGCTGCAGCACAGCAGATTAAAGCCCCGGCCTTCAGTGCTGGCATCCTATATGGATTCTGGTTCAAGCCCTGGCTGTTCCACTTCCAATCCAGCTCCTTGCTGATGCGCCTGGGAAAGCAGTGAAGGATGGCCCAAGTCCTTGGGCCCCTGCACTCGTGTGGGAGACCTGGAGGAAGCTCCTGACTCCTGGCTTCAGATTGGCCCAGCTGTGGCCATTTGGGGAGTGAACCAGCAGATGGATGACCTCCCTCTCTCTCTCTCTTCTTCTCTCTGTAACTCTTTCAAATAAATAAAATAAATCTTAAAAAAAAAAAAAAAAAAAAGATGCCTGTTTCCCACATCTGAGTGCCCAGGTTGAATACCTGGCTGTTGCTCCTGACCATAGCTTCCTGTTACTCCAGAAGCCAGAAGGCAGTGGTGATGGCTCCATGAGTTGGGTTCCTGCCTCACAATGCATTCCCAGCTCCCAATTTCAGCCTGACCCAGCCGTGATCATTGTGGGTATTTAGGGAGTGAACTAAAAGATAGGAGCTCCGTCTGCCTCCAAATTGAAAAAACAACAAAAGATGCTTCTCTAGTATAGTCCACCTTTCCCCCCCACCCCCCCCCCCCCCCAGGCAGAGTTAGACAATGAGAGAAAGAGAGACAGAGAGAAAGGTCTTCCTTCTGTTGGTTTACTCCCCAGATGGCTGCTACGGCCCACGTGCTGCACCGATCCAAAGCCAGGGGCCAGGTGCTTCCTCCTGGTCTCCCATGTGGGTACAGGGCCCAAGCACTTGGCCCATTCTTCACTGCCTTCCTGGGCCACAGCAGAGGGCTGGACTAGAAGAGGAGCAACCGGGACAGAATCCGGCACCCCAACCGTGGCTAGAACCCGGGGTGCCGGTGCCGCAGGCAGAGGATTAGCCTAGTGAGCTGCAGCGCTGGCCCTAGTCCATCATTTTAATACCTTTTCCAAGCTCTCTTGTTTTAAGACTATTTCCCTTTTCCTCCTATTCTGCAGGATTGTGTCTTTCTTGATGTGCCACTCTGTTCTTCAATCATAGAATTAATCTGGTATTCATATTTGGCATTTGGTTTAAAAAGTTTTAGCATAATTTCTAGTGTTCTATATATCATGTGTTTGCAAATTATAAATTACTTGAGGACTGGCAATCACATTTACTTCTTTGTGAATGTCTGTGTAACATGAAATTTCATGAATAATGGACACTAAATAATGAAAACTGAAAAAAATCTATTAAAAAGTTCAGTTCTCCCAACAACAAAAAATATAAATTGAAACAGGAACCTGTTAGTTACTTAAATCCTGTTGAATTAGAAACCTTTTTTCACATTACACCATCTAATGTTAGTGAATTTACTGTTAACATGTAGAAGGGTTTGCTGGCACAGAACAACTGGAAAGCAATTTGAGCTCATTGCTGACCATGCACCATTAAAATTTTTCCAAAAAGCAAGAATGTAAAAGGAGATGTAAGATATGATTTATTCTAATGAAAAGTTAATACTAATCTTGCCCCACTAAAAATAATTAAGGGGCCAGCAGTGTGGCTCAGTGGATTAAGCTGCTGTATGCAATGTCAGCATCACATATGTGAGTGCCAATTGGAGTTCTTGCTGCTGTACTTCCGATCCAGCTACCTGCTAATGTGCCTGTAAAAGCAGCAGACGGCCCAAATGCTTAGACCCCTGCCACTCATGTGGGAGACCAGGATGGAGTTTCTGGCTCCTAGAATAAGCCTGGCCCAGCCCAGGCTATTGTGGCCATTTGGGAAGTGAACTAGCAGATGGAAGGTCTTTCTCTGTCTTTCCAATTAATTAATTAATTAATCTTTACAAAAAAAAGAAAAGTAAAAAAGGCATACCTACTCTTCTGAATATAGTCATTACAATAATTTCACAATGTCAATCATGTTAAAATTAATATTAGTAACAATGGCTAATATTTATTATTTATTATTCTTTTTCTTTAAAAGATTTATTTATTTGAAAGAAAGAGTTAGAGAGATAGAAACAGAGAGAGGTCTTCCATCCACTGGTTCACTCCCCAGACGGCCGCAAGGGCCAGAGCTGCACTGATCTGAAGTCAGGAGCCAGGAGCCTCTTCTGGGTCTCCTACGTGGGTACAGGGGCCCAAGCACTTGGGCCATCTTCCACTGCTTTCCCAGGCCATAGTAGAGAGCTGGATTGGAAGAGGAGCAGCCGGGACTAGAACTGGCACCATATGGGATACCAGCGCTTCAGGCCAGGGCTTTAACCCGCTGAGCCACACCACTGGCCCCTACTATTCGTACACTGTATATAGTGTAAGATACTAGTGTAGGGTTGCCAGTTTTTGGCATATAAAAATACAGGATTCCCAGTATAACTTGAATTTCAGGTAAACAAAAAAAATCATTATTTCATATAAGCAAAACCCAGGCAATACTTTCCACAGATTATTTGAAATTCAAATCAAACTGACTTCCTTTATTTTATCTGGATACTAGTATCCCAGATACTATCCTGTAATTCATTTTACTGTAAGCCTTTGGGCCATGACTGAAAGGAAATGTGGGCAGATGATACTTCCAATGGCAAGATCCACTTATGAACATTTACTTGAGCCCTATTATGTAGCAACCTTGCACTCCCATTTTACTGGTGAAGGAAATGAAGAACAAACTATTTGGCTCAAGGTCATTAGGCTAGTAATTGCAGGATCAGATTCTGACACCAAAGCTCTTGCTTACTGTACGTTGTCATCTTGACTTCCTGGGTGATTTCATTTTTTTTCAGGTGCACTTCTGTCAATGTTGATATAAAAGTTTGTGTGTGATAAAATACATGCACAAGGACATATGAATATTTCAAGGAGCTCTGCAAAGCCTAGTCTTTAGGGTTTGCTTTGGTCTAAAGCCAATACTAGAGGCAACCAAACAAAACTCTTCCCTTGAAAGGAAATGGGATGCACATTTACGGCTGCCAAGAGGATCAATTAGCACAGTGAAAACTTCTCCCCAGCTCAGAGTGGCTTCGCTCAGAAAGTTGCATCACATACTTACCCTTTGAATAGTACGACTGCTCTCCCACTTATGCCTCACTAAGCTCCTCCCCTTTCTCTCTCTGCTTTACCCTCTGAACTTGTTAGTTCCCTCCACTCAGTTAAGAAGGGATTATGAATTTTTTTTAAGCCAACCATATGGGAAATTGCACATACACACACAAATACAGAAGTGCCAGTGTGCTTTATCAGTGAAAGCAATGCCTATGCTCCATACATAATAGGGAATTTCAGGGTGATTTCCCCAGACGTGTCAGCTTAAGTGTTCCCTGAGAGTTTAGCCCGCATCAAAGTTTGTGCCTTTGATTGTTTGTTTCAGAAGAGGCAGCTGGCCACAGGGCTGCTTGTGATGCCTTTCCCACACTTTGCTTTTGTTTTTCCCTCCTGATAATTGCCTCATGACTAAACCACTCACTGGTCCATGTAGAGGAATCCCACAGAGATGAAAACACACTTGCTTAAATAAAATATTTATGAAGAAGCCCTAAAATGTCACTGAAGTAAATGCAAATTAGTTCTTCACATATTGTGCATCCAATATGCCACTCATTCCTTAGAAGACTCTATTTCCTGATTGCAATTAACATTAATTTTTAAAAATTAATCCCATTTTGCATAATCATGCCAACATCTATTCACAAAAATCCAGTGTTTTAAGAGTGATTCTCGAAAGAGAGACAGATTTTCTACCCGCTGGATACCTCCTGAAACGCCCACAATTGCTGGGGCTGGGCTAGGTCGGGGCCAGGATCCAGGAGCTCCATCTGGGTCTCCCACGTGGTGGCGGGAACCTAACCATTATAGCCATCATCATCTGCCTCCTAGGGCACACACCAGTATGAAGCTGGATCAGAAGTAGTGGTGGAGGGCTGCTGCCTCTGCCTCTAGCACTAGCATTGCATATGGGTGGAGGTTTGAGTCCCAGCTGCTCCACTTTCAACTCAGCTGCCTGCTAATGTGCTTGGGAAAGCAATGAAGATAGCCCTTTGGTCCGCTACACCCATGTGGGAGACCTGATTGAAGTTCTTAGCTCCTGCCTTCTGCCTGGCCCAGCCCTGACCACTGCAGCCATCTAGGGAGTGAACTAGCAGATGAAGTGTTCTTGTAATTTTTTACCTTTCATTAAAATAAGCATGCAGCTTGTTACTATCCAAGGTATAGCCTTCGTTTTTCCTCTCCATTAATTTCTTGTAATGGCTCTCCACGTCTTTCAGTTACATATGAGAAAAACAAAAGTAAAATCTTATTAATAAAAAAAGTGATTCTCTGACTGTCTTAGAAAATTTGAATTGACTATAATATTTAATCCTAATGGTTACTTTGGAATTTTCCTTAGCAACCATAATTATTATTTTACATGCACATCTTTTAATAAGTAATTTCACTATAATTCAATACAAGGTGACATTAACAAAGGTATCACATTCTAGCCTTTCAATGAAATACTATTTGGACAAGATTTTCTTGTTTTTTTTTCCTTCCTGAAAATTGGGAGGATCCATAATATTTTCAGAGTTTTTTTTTTTTTTTTTTTTTTTTTTTTTGACAGATAGAGTTAGACAGTGAGAGACAGAGAGAAAGGTCTTCTTCCTTCCATTGGTTCACCCCCTGAAATGGCCGCCATGGCCAGCGTGCTGAATTGATCTGAAGCCAGGAACCAGATGCTTCCTCCTGGTCTCCCATGCGGGTGCAGGAGCCCAAGCACTTGGGCCATCCTCCACTGCCCCCCCCCAGGCCACAGCAGAGAGCTGGAATGGAAAAGGAGCAACTGGGACTAGAACCTGGCGCCCATATGGGATGCCAGCAACTCAGGCAGAGGATTAACCAAGTGAGCCACAGCACCGGCCCTCAGAGTTCTTAAAATAAATCCTTGGGATGATATTGTCCAAAGAAAGTTAGGAGGCCAGCGCCGTGACTCACTTGGCTAATCTTCCGCCTGTGGCGCTGGCACCCCGGGTTCTAGTCCAGGTCAGGGCGCCGGATCTGTCCCAGTGGCTCCTCTTCCAGTCCAGCTCTCTGCTGTGGCATGGGAAGGCAGTGAAGAATGGCCCAAATGCTTGGGCCCTGCACCCGCATGGGAGACCAGGAGGAAGCACCTGGCTCCTGGCTTCGGATCAGCGCGGTGCAGCACGTGGGCCATAGCGGCCATTTGGGGAGTGAACCAATGGAAAAAGGAAGACCTTTCTCTCTAACTCTGCCTGTCAAAAAAAAAAAAAATTAGGAATCAGTTGATATGACTACTAACTGTACAAGGGGTAACAGGTTCCCAGTTCTTGATACCACCTTTCCTGATTTTGCAAGAAAGAAATGTGAGCTGAGCTGAACAAGATTAGGTAGATTTGTCCTTTACCTGATGGCCTTGAAAGCTGTCTTCCCTATGTGACTTTTGATCAAAATAAAAAGATGCAGGGCTTCTAGATCAGAAGGATCACCTGAAGTTAGTGTTGTCTGAAATGAGCGTCTCGATTCTCCTGAGGTGGAACTGAAAGCCTTTAATACACTGGAACTCTACCTGGCTTTGGACCAACCCCAGAATAAAAAACAGAGCTGCCTCTTCTGAACACACCACTGTGCTACTGCTGTAGAGTTCAACAGCTGGCATGAGGGAATTCACTGTAAAAGGGGAGAGGGGGAGAGAGAGGGAGGGAGGGAGGGAGGGAGGAAGGGAGGAAGGGAGAGAGAGAAACAGAGAGAGAGAAAGGGAGAGAAAGTTGTCTTCCACCTAGCTGCACACTACAATCAACTGATGAACTTAAAAATACCCTGATACCAAGCCCTTCACCCAGAAATTATGATGTAATCAGTCCAGAATACAGCCCAGTCATTGAGAGCTTTTGGTTTGTTTCATTTTGTTTGTTTGTTAGAGTTCTCTAGTATTTCTATTGGGCAGCCAAAAGGAAAAACCACTGGTCCAGAGAAAGCGTTTCTTGACTGCAGTAATTTTCACTTGAAGAGAAGCGTCACTGAAGATGAGTCCTAAGGTTCGCTTCACACCCTGACACGGTGAACATTTTCTAGCCCTGGGTGCAGACACTGAGAGCATGCAGAAATATCCGCAGAATATAAAGTTGGAACATGAGCAGAGAAATTTCTATCCTGGATTACAGAATTCATAGCCAAAACACCAAGCAGAATCTTATAACTAGAGAGTTTAACCTACTTGGGGATTAAACCTATTACACAAGCACAGAATAGAAGAAGTAGGTCTAAGTGTGGCTCTTATGAAAAATTCCTAGGAAATGTTCACTGACAATAACTCCTCTATTCTTAATACATGCGGTGAAACTGCCCAACAAGCTACTTTGACTTAGACCCATTCTTTTCTTTTTTCTTCAAATGGAATCTATGGCCTTGGGCTAGTTTACTTCGCTGCAGTTCAGACAGTCTACTCATATATATCCATTACTTTCAGCCATGTTTCTCAAACGTTAATGCGCCTATGCCTCACCCAAGATTCGGAATTTGCAAACTCACATGCGGTGGGTCTGGGGCGAGCCTGAGAATCTGCATGTCTAACAACCTCTCCGAGGCTGCTGATGCTGCTGGTCTTAGAAGGCTGTTAAGAGGACTAAGTGAAATGACCTACATACAGTGCCTAGCACAGACACGCTTGGCACCCCACAGAAGAAAAGGCCTACAAGGAAAATGATAAAAACATGTTTAAAACCTAGGAGTTCTATGATCCACTCGTCCCTTCTTTTTCAGCTGGAAATAGTGGGTCCAGAGAAGTTATCTCCTAATAGCCAAGGGTATATAATGTAAACAAGGGATAAGAGTAATTCTTTTTGACTGCAAAAAGTATAATCAAGATCCATGAGAAGTTTAAGAGAGCTTTTAATTCCCCACAAAGGAGAAACATTCCCAAAATAAGTGCTGTTCTATAACCAATTAGCTCTCTTGACAGTTAAGTATCCAATTACAGAAGAGGAGTTAAACCAACTGGTGATGTTAAAGGAGATATTCAAGAGTGGATGCTGGACCTGGGGTTCAGACTCTGGATGGGATCCCTGCACTCCATATCAGAGTACCTAGGATTGAGTCTCAGCTCTGTTCCTAATTCCAGCTTCCTGTTAATGTGCACCTTAAGAGGCAGCAGTGATGACTCCAGTCTCACCCACGTAGGAGACCTGGATTGCATTTCTACCTCCCAGCTCTGGCTGTTCCAGACTTTAGGGAATGAACTACCAGATGGAGGGATCTGTCTCTCTTTCTCTCTCACTCTCACTCTCTCACTCTCCCTCCCTCCCTCCCTCCCTCTTAAGTGATTTAAAAAAATATTCATATCTTAAGTCACTGCTTAAGACATCTTGGCTGTCTAACAAGCTATCACACACTTAACATGTACAAAAAGTGAAAAGCCAAACTGGTATCCCTCCCTACTCCAATCCTCTTCCTGAAACCTTGCTCTGCTCAGTAAATGGATTGCTTAGGTCAAAAAACCATAGAATCATCCTTAACTCATCTTCCCTAATACTCCATGCCCCTTTCATCAATAAATATGAGTGGATGCACCTTCAAATTCTGCCTATAAACCAATTACTTCTCACCACCTCCATTACAATGATCCTAGTTGAAGCCACAATCGCTCCTTTCTGGATTCTTGAAATAGCTTCCTATCAGGTTTCTGTCTTCATCTTTTCTCTTCTACAGTATTTTCTCCACACAGCGTTCGGAGTGTTGCCATTTTGGGGCTCAATACCTTCTAATGGTTTTGTATCTTGTTCACAGGAAAAATCAAAGTCCTTATAATGGTTTACAAGACCCTACATGATCTTCCTTCTGCATCCTTGACTGTGTATTCCTTGTCATTCTCCATCATTTTCACTTGTGTCCAGCAACCCCTTACGCCAGGGTCTTATCAATGGTGCTCTGACCTAGGACCTTTGCACTTACGCTCTCCTCTGCTTACAAGGCTATTCTTTGTGATCTGTAAGTGTATGTCCCACACATGAAATAACATGAAGACACTTGACAGAGCATTCTAATTGCTCTCTATGGATAAGAGAGCTCACACACAGTTTAAAGATCAGCATTTTACTTTCCACAAGTTAGTATGGATGACAGACTGGCATTCCAGTTCCAGTTGCAACTCAGGCTCACTCTTAAAAATCACACTTCCTGAAGTCCTCTGTTAATACCAAGTGAGGGAAGACCTGGTGCTACATTCTCCTTCAGGGAACTACAATCACCTGGGCAAATAATAACCCTTTTGATGGATCAGATCCATTGATCTGTGATCCAGCCTTACCTTACTCTTGAATAAATGAGCCAGCATCCTAGAGGTAGTGATAGTTCTCCTGTCCACAGGGAATTTTATCTGCTTTTCTCCTTTGATAACCAAAGCCCTTAATGGATCTTGAGAAAAATCTGGCTAACACTTGGTGGCCCTGGATGGAGAACGGACAGAGAGAGCTGCCATGTGCCATTCAGGTGGATTCCTTCACAGGAAAGGATGTCAGCCAGTCCCAGGCCACTCTCCCTGGGAGCCATGCCCCAGACCTGCTGCACGTGGTTGTTCTGGTTTGCACCACACAACAGCAGAGACTCCATTCCATAGTATTGTGTGCTGCAGCCATCTCCAGCCACTGAGCTTTCAGGGCTTAGAGACAGAAAGTCGCCCCTGGCTTGGACAAACAGCTCCCGAGGAACGGAGATAAATGCACTTGATGCAAGAGTGAATGCGAGCAGGGCAGAGAGGAGGAAAATGAAGGCTATCTGGCTTGAGCCGAAGTGGCCTGCAGGGGAGGGTGCGCTTTGGAGGTCATCTTCAGCCTCTTTTCCTCTCACCTTGCCCTGTGCAGTCCTCCACACCTATCTCAGGAGTAGGCTACTTTCCCACACAAACCAAAGGGCCAGAGGGGCCTGCGGCTACCTCAGAACCCTGTGCCCTAGTTTGGAAAACACATACACACAGTGCTGCTTTTGGGAACTTACAGAGCAGCCAGGCAGAGTCTCCTCTACAGCTATTTCTCAGATTTCTTCTCCAAGTGGCCTGCTTCGTGTCTCTCCCTCCAGGGTTGCCCAGGGCAGGGGCCGAGAACCTGAGTTCACACCCTGGGTTAAAAGGGGGCAGAGGCAGAAAACGGGCCCAAAGGATGCAGAGTGTGAATCATGCAATTCAGGGCTAGTCCTCATCCATCATTTCTGATCAAGCCAAAGACCAGAGGTCACACGGGACACCAAGGAGCACCTCTGGCAGGGTCTCAG